GGAAGAAAAAGAGAAAAAAAAAGAAAGAAAGAGAGAAGAGGAGAAGGAGAGAGGAAAAAGAAAAGAAGGAAAAAAGAAGAGAGAAGGAGGAAGAGAAGAGAGAAAGAAGAAGGGAAAGGAGAAAAAGAAGAAAGAAAAAAGAGAAAAAAAGAAGAAAAAAAAGAAGAGGAAGAAGGGAAAAGAAAGAAAGAGGAGAGAAGGAAGGAAGAAAAAAAGGAAAAGGAAAAAAAAGGAAAGGAAAAAGAAAAAAAAAGAAGGAGAAAAAAGGGAGAAAAAAAGGAAGAAGAGGAAAGAAAAGGGGAGAGAAGAGGAAAAAAAAGAAGGAAGAAGGAGAAAAAGAAGAGGAAAAGAAGGGAGGAGAAAAGAAAAGAAAAAAAGAAAAAAAAAAAGAGAAAAAAAAAAGGAAAAAAAAAAGAAAGAGAGAAAGAGGAGAGGAGAGGAAGAAAAGAAAAAAAGAAGGAAAAGAAAAAAGAAGAAAAAAAAGGGGGAAAGGAGAAAGAAAGAGGAAAGAGAGAAAAAAAAAGAAGAAAGAGGAAAAAAAGGAGGGGAAAGGAAAAAAAAAGAAGAAGAGAAAGAAAAAGGAAGAAAAAAGGAAAAAGGAAAGAAGAAGGAAGAGAGAGAGAAAAAGAAAAAAAAGAAGGAAAAAAAAAAAAAAGGAAAGGAAAAAAAAAAAAGGAAGGGAGAAGGGAAAGAAAAAAAAAAAAGAAAAAAAAAAAGAAAAAGAAAAAAAAAGAAGGAAGGGAAAAGAAAAGGAGAGAAAGAAAGAGAGGAAGGAAGGAAAAGAGAGAAAAAAAAAGAGGAAAAAAAAGGAGAAAAGGAAAAAAGGAGAGGAAAGAGAAAAAAGAGAGAAAAAAGGAAAGAAGAGAGGAAAAGAAGAGAAAGAAAAAGAGAAGAGGAAAGGGGAAAAAAAAAGGAAAAAGGAGAAAAGAGAAGAAAAAAAAAAAAAGAGGAAGAAAAGGGAAGAAAGGGAAGAGAAAAGGAAGAGAAAGGAGAGAAAAGAAAAAAAAAAAAAAAAGGAAAAAAGAAAAGGAAAAAAACGGAAAAGAGAAAGGGAGGAAAAAGAAAGGAGGAAAAAAGAGAAAAGAAAGGAAGGGGGAAAGAAAAGGAAGAAAGGAAAAAGGAGAAAAAGGGGGAAAAGAAAGGAAAAAAGGGAGGGAAGAAAAAGAGGAGGAGAAAAGGAAGAGGGAAGGGAAAGGAAGGAAAAGAAAGGAGAGAAAAAGAAGAAAGAAAAGAAGGAGAAAAAAGAAGAGAGAGAGAAGAAAAGGAGAGAAAAGGAAAAAGGAAAGGAGGGAGAAGAGGAGGGGAAAGAGGAAAAAGGAAGGAAAAAGAGGAGGAAAAGAGGGGAAGAAGGAAAGAAGGGAAAGAAAAAGAAAAAGAAGAAAAAAGGAAGAAGAAAAAAAAGAAGAAAAGGAAAAGGGAAAGGGAAAAAAAGGAAAAAAGAAGGGGGAGAGGAAAAGGAAAGAAAGAGAGGGGAAAAGAGAAAAGAGAAAGAAAAGAGAGAGAAGGAAAGAAAGAAAAGAGAAAGAAAAAAAAAAGAAAGAAGAAGAAAAAGAGAGAAAGAGAGGGGGAAAGGAGAGGAAAAGGAAAAAAAAGAAAAAGAAGAGGAGGAAAAAGGAAGGAGAAAAAAGGGAGAGAAAAAGAAAAAAGAAAAAGGAAAAGAGAAGAAGAGAAAAAGAAGGGAAAAGGAGAGAAGAAGGAGAAGAGGGAAAAAAGAGAAAAGAGAGAAAAAGGGAAAAGAAAAAAGAAAAAAGGAAAAAAAGGAAGGAAAAAAAGGGAGGAAAGGAGAAGGAAAAGAAAAGGAAGGAGAAGAAGAAGGAAAGAAAGAAGAAAGAGAAAAAAAGAAAGAGAAAAAGGAAAGGAAGAAAAGGAGGAGAAAAAGAAAAAAGAGGGAGGAAAAAAGGAAAAGAAGAAGAGGAAAAAAAGGAGAGGGAAGAAGGAAAAAGGAGGGGGAAAGAAGAAGAAGAAAAAAAAGAAGAGGAAAAAAAAAAAGAAGAAAAAGGAGAGGAGAAAGAGAAGGGGGGAGAAGAAAAAAAAAAAGAAAGAGAAGAAAAAGAAAGGAAGGAAAGAAAAGAAGGGGGAGGGAGGGAAAAAGAAGAGGAAGAAAAGAAAAAAGGGGAGAGAAAGAAAAAAAAAGGAAAAAGGAAAGAAAGAGAAGAAAGAAAAAAAGGAAAGGAAGAAAAAAGAGGAAGAAAGGAAAGGAAAAGGAAAGGAAAGGAGGAAAGGGAGGGAGGAAGAAAGGAAAGAAAAAAGGAGAAAGAAGAGAAAGAAGGAAAGAAGAAGGAAAGAAAAAGGGGAAATGGAAGAAAGAAAGAGAAAAAAAAAAAAGGAGAGAGAAGAGAAAAGAAGGGAAAGAGGAAAAGAGAAAAAAAAAAGAAAGAGAAAAGGAGAGGGAGAAGAGAAAAAAAAGGGGAGGAAGAGGAAAAAAAAAAAGGAAGGGGGGAAAAAGAAAGGAAAGAAAGGAAGAAAAAGGAAAAAAAGAAGGGAAGGAAAAAAGAAAAGAGAGAGGGGGAAAGAAAAAGGAAAGAAAGAAAAAGGAGAAAAGAAGAAAAGAGAGAAGGAAAGGAGAAAGGGAGGAAAAGAAGGGAAAGAGAAGGAAAAGAAGAAAGGGAAGAAGAAAAAAAGGGAGGAGAAAAAAAAAAGGAGGGGAAGAAGGGGAGGAAAAAAGAAGAGGAAAGAAAGGAGGAAAAGGAAAAAAAGGAAAGAAGAGGAGAAGGAAAGGGAAAGGAAAGAAAAGAGAAAAAAGAGAAAGGAGGGAAAAGGAGAGGAGAAAAAAAAGAGAAAAAGGAGAGAGGGAGAAAAAGGAAAAGAAAAAGAGAGGGAAAAAAAAAAGAAGAGAGAAAAAAAGGAAGAAGAGAAAAAAAGGAAAGAGGAAAGAAAGGAGGAAGGAAGGAAAAGGAGGAAGAAAGGAAAGGGAAAGGAAGAAGGGGGAAAGAAAAAGAAAGAAAGAGAAAAAGAAGAAGAGAAAAAAGGGAAAAAAAAGAAAAAGAGAAAAAGGGAAAGGAAAAGAGGGAGAAAGGAAAGGGAAAAAAGAGAAAGAAGAGGAAAGGAGAAGAAGAAAGGAAAGGAAAAAAGAAGAAGAAAGGAGGGGAGAAAAAAAAGGAAAGAGAAGAGGAGAGAAAAAGGAAAGGAAAGGAAGGGAAGATAGGAAAGAAGAGGAAAAGGAGAGAAAAGGGAAAGGAAAGAAGGAAAAAAAAAAAAAGGAAGAGGAAAAAGGAGGGAAGGAAAGGAAGAAAAAAAGGAAGAAAGAGAAGAGAAAAGGAAAAGGAAAGGAGAAGGAAAAAGGGAGAAAAAAAGGAAAGGAAAGGAAAAAAAAAGGAAAAAGAAAAGAAGGAAAAGAAAAGGAAAAGGAAGAAGAAGAAAAGGAAAAATAAGAAAAGAAGGAAAAAAGAAAAGGAAAAAAGAAAAAGGAAAAAGAGAGGAAAGGAAAAGGAAAGAAAAAAGGAAAGGGGAGAAAAGAAAAGAAAAGGAGAGGAAGGAGGAAAGGAAAAAAAAAAGAAAAGGAAAAAAAGAGGGGAAGAAAGGAAAGAAAAAGGAAAGGAGAAAAGGAGAGGAAAAGGAAAGGAAGAGGAAAAGGAAAGAAAGGGAAAGAAGAAAAGAAAAGAGGAAAAGGAAAGGAGAGAAAAAAAGGAAAAAGGAAAGGAGAGGAAAATGGAAAGGAAAGGAGAAGGAAAAAAGAAGGGAAAAGGAAAGGAAGAAGAGGTAAAGAGAAGAAAAGGAAGAGGAAAGGAGAGAGAAAAAGAGAAAGGAAAAAGGAAAGAGAAAAGGAAAGGAAAAAAGAAAGGAAAAGAGGAAAAAGAGAAGAAAAGAAGAAAAGGAAAAGAAGAAAAGAAAAAGAAAAAGGAAAAAAAGGAAGGAGAGGAAAGGGGGAAAGGAAAAGGAAAAGGAAAGAAGAAAAAAGAAAGGAGAAGGGAAAGGAAAGGAAGGAGAGGAGAGGAAGAGGAAGGAAAGGAGTGGAAAAGAAAAGGAAAGGAAAGCAAGAAAGGAAAAGGAAAGGAGAGGAAAGGAAAGGAGAGGGGGAAAAGGAAAAGGAAAGGAAAGGAAAGGAGAAAAAAGGGAAAAGAAAGGAGGAGGAAAGGGAAAGAAGAAGGAAACGGGGAGAGAGTGAAAGAAAGGAAAGGGAAAGGGAAAGGGAAAAGGAGAGGAAAAGGAAAGAGGAAAGGAGAGGAAAAAAAGAAAAAAGGAGAGGAAAAAGAAAGGAAAAGAGAGGGGAAAAGGAAAGGGAAAGGAAGGAGAGGGGAGGAAAGGAAAGGAAGGAAAGGAAAAAGGAAAGGAAAAGGAAAAGGAAAGGAAAGGAGAGGAGAGGAAAAGGAAAGGAAATAAAAAAAAGAAAAGGAAAGGAAAGGCAAGGAGAAAAGAAAGAGGAAAGGAGAGGTAAGGAAAGGAAGAGGAAAAGGAAAGGAAAGGAGAGGAAAAGGAAAGGAAAGGGGAGGAAAGGAAAGGAGAGGTAAAGGAATGGAGAGGGAAATGAAAGGAAAGGAAAGGGAAATGAAAGGAAAGGAGAGGGAAAGGAAAGGGAGGGAGAGAAAAAAGGAAAGGAGGGGAAAAGGAAAGGAGAGGGAAAAAGGAAAGGCAAGGAGAGGAAAAAGAAAGGAAAGGAGAGGGGAGAGGAAAGGAGAGGGAAAGAAAAGTAAAGGAGAGGGGAGGAATGGAGATGGAAAGGAAAGGAAAGGAAAGGAAAGGAGAGGGATTGAATTCGGTTTAAAAACAAATCAAGAATCAAATTGAAATGAAATTTGTTACAAAAATGCCCACAAAACAAATGTCTTCGTTCTGCAGGACGTCTAATCTGAACCCAAACCCAAGCACTTGCTTGAGGAGAAATAGAGAGTTGTACAATCCAATCCTCACATTTGGGGAGAGGGTTAAGATGCGGAGCTGTTAAAGTGAAAGAAACATCGTAGACATCGGATTTATAAGTCGGGAAAAAAAGCAGAAAATGTTGTTGGAATTGTTCCAGACATTCAGAAATACAATTACACTTTTGCTCTTTTCTTTTACAGGATTGGATCCAAGGATCAAAGTTGTTTTAGGGGTAATTTTTATGGTATCGTCCATCAACAGCATTGGTCTTGTATGGTTTATTATTATACTTCCTGAGGAATTTTGATGGTAAGTTTGTGAAAGTCCAGATATGTCCACAATCTGGTATACAATGTAAGCCATGCATCAGCCAACAGGCCTCTTGCACAGCCCCAGGTATTAGAGTTGGGTGTAACACCAGAATGTTGGTGGACCAGAGGAGCCTTCTGCAGGAAGTCCTAAAGGCATGTAGGGGGCGGGGTGTTTAGTGATGTCACATGAGATTGTTATTTTGTTCATTTCTTTTGAAACTGATTGTTTTTTACAAAGAAATATCAGTTACTTCACCAGCGATCATAGAAATGATAACATGCATGCTTATGATGATCTCAGACCAAAGCCAACACATTTTTGGGTTGGTAAACTCCATGCTCAACAGTAGGTCATCAAATAAGCCTAAAGCATCCTGGGTCCCTTTAAATGTTTCTGTTTAATGGATTTCTTGATTCAACAGGTCTGGCAGTAATCAGGCCTGTGCGTGGCAAGTGAAATGTAACTTAACTTTCCAATAAATGTGGTTAATCATAGTTCATTCATGATTTAGCAAGGGAGGGGAGGGGCAATTACTTTTTCACATAGGGCAGAAATAATAAAATGTGTTTCATTTTGGAGTGTTAATCATTTTTGTTTCGTTGCATTCATAATTAAATTTGTTTAGTTTAGTTTGTTTTCTTGTTCAAACAATTTTATTAACAATAAACCAAAATGACACAAACAAGGAGACATTAGGAAATGTACACTGGACATTGAAGTAGCAGTAGGACATAAAAAATGAATGAAGGTTACAGTACAAATGTCTATACATTTCTGACGGAAACAGGTAGTTAAGAGTTGATAGCAAATTACGTTATTGTTTCAGCCAATCAGAAGAGTAGTGTCTCGCAAGGGCATTACAGAAATAGGGGGAAGTTTGGAGGGGGGTCAGACAGGGGTGGAAGGGGGGGAAAGGGGAAGAGGAACAACAACGATGACTCCATGAACATTCATCAAGTTTACAACAGCCCCTACGTGCTGCGTACGAAGGGCTATTGACAATATCCTTGGCGCACAGTACACAAATCAAGGGAGAAGGAGTGATTCGTCAAAGTTAGGTGGGAGGAAACGCTCTACCCAGGGGCTCCATATGCGCAAGAATTTAGGGATCGTGTCAAGAATTGTGACTTCCACCTTTGCATGTATCATGGCTTGTGTTATTCTGGTTTTGATGGCCGTGATACTTAGGGTAGGGGATTTCCAGGATTTCGCTATAACCTGCTTAGCTGCCATCATAACTTGCATAAGGAGCTTGAATTGCGAATTGAAGATGCCAGGGGGGCATTGATTGAGTAGGGCTGTTGTTGGGTCGGGTCGTAGAGTGTAGATATCATGGTGAAAATTTCATCCCAAAAGATTCGGGCTACTGGGCAGTCCCACCACATATGGTAGTGTGTTCCTGGGTCCGTACAGCCTCTAAAAAACAGTTGGGTGAGTAATTAGGGGGGGTAAATTTTGCGATTCTCGCTGGGACCAAGTACCAGCGGGTTAAAACTTTATAATTCGTTTCCAATGCTACAATGTTCTGCAAAGATGATTTTGTGTTTGTTTTGTGTGGTCCCAATCAGATGGGTCGAATCTCTTACCTAAATCCACTTCCCACCTATGGGTATACAGAGGGGGGGACGTGGTAATCGAAGTAGTGAAGAGTGAGTATAAGCAGGAGATAAGCCCACGTCTATGAGGATCTTTGCAACACGCTCGTTCAAAGAGAGACATGGCGTCTGGTCGATTGGTTATTGTAGCATGGGGGGCGTAGAAGTGTTGTAGCTGTAAGTATCTGAATATCTCGAAAGCTGGGAGGCTATGTGTTTCCCGCAGCGAGGCAAAGGATTTAAACTTATTCCTCTGTAGGAAATGATGTGTACAGAGCAAATTAGCAGAGGACCAGGCTTTGAATAATAGGGGTGTCTGCCAGGCCCGGGGGAAAAGCTGGGTTTCGGAGAAACAAGAGCATAGGATTATGTAGTGATTGGAGGAGATAACGGGTTTTCAGTTTGTCCCATAAGGATAAAAAGTGAGAAGTGATGGGGTTGGTTATAGAACAGCGGTCTATTGGCCTCTCAACCAGAGTAAGTTAGCTGTAGATAAGGGGTCACATTCTATCGATTCAAGCACAACCCATTGAGGGATTTCAAAGGTTGCATGATATTTAGGTAACTGGGCTAAATGCGCTGCTTGATAGTATTTGCTGATGTCGGGTAAGCCTAGACCACCATTGAGCTTAGGGCGATAGAGGGTGGAGCAAGGTATACGAGGACAAGTATTGCCCCATACATAGGAAAAGATGCGACGCTGCAGTGTGCGGAGGTAGTGAGGGGAGACTGGGACTGGGAGGACTCTAAACAGATATAGAATTTTTGGGAGGAGTGATATCTTGATAACTGCTATTCTGCCTAGCCATGCGAGGGGAAGGGAAGACCATTTGGTCAGAAGAGCAGAAAGATGTTTAGCATCGGAACATAGTTAGCTGCGTAAAGGTCTGATAACTTAGGAATCAGTTTGATTCCTAAGAAGGGGATATGGCACTGTGACCAAGGGAATGGTAAAATCTGCTTCAGATGCGTCAGCTCTATAGGGGGGAGAGAAAATGTTGAGTGCTGTTGATTTATTGGGGTTTATTATTAGACCAGAGTGCGAGCCAAACGCCTCGAGAAGCCGGAGTAGGGAAGGAGAGGAAGTCAATGGAGATGTGAGAAAGAGCAAGACGTCATCCACAAAGAGACATAACTTATGATGTGTGCCCCCTATCTCGAGTCCCCTGACATCCGGGTTAGCTCTGATTAAGAGGGCCAAAGGCTCTATAGCCAGGGCAAAGAGCAAGGGGGACAGAGGGCAGCCCTGTCTCGTGCCTCTAGAGATCGGAAACTGAGCTGACCTGTGCCCCAGATACCTAATTCTGGCCGAGGGCTCTCGATACAGCGAGAAGATCCAGGTTAAAAAGTGTGGGCCAAAACCCCAACGGTGCAAAATATAGTTGAGGTATGGCCATGAGACTGTATCGAATGCTTTCCGGATATCTAAGGACAGGAAACAGGCGGGAATATTGCGAGACCTGGCTAAATTTGCCAAAAGAGATGCATGTCTGATGTTATCTCCCACTTGTCTAGTTGGGATAAAGCCCACTTGGTCGTTATGAATTAGAGAGCCAATACACAGGTTAAGACGTGAAGAGAGGATTTTTGCTAACAGTTTGATATCAATGTTAAGGAGAGAGATTGGCCCTAATTGGACCACTGCGTGTCATCAGAATTCGGCTTTGGGATCATTGAAATGTTCGCTTGCACTGTTTCATGGTTGAAGGTTTGGCCAGATAGTAAAGTGTTAAAAGCATTAGCGAGGATAGGTGTGAGCAGATTAGCAAATTTTTTATAGTAAGTGGCTGAGAAGCCATCTGGTCCTGGGCGTTTACGTAGTTTTAGACTTTTAATAGCATCTAAGGTTTCGGCTGGGGAATGGGTCACTCAAGTGTCGCTAATTGGCACTCTGAGAGTTTCGGGAGAGAAATGGAAGTTAGAAGGGTATCAGCTTGTGTGGGGTCAAAAGGTGTGGAAGAAGAATAAAGCTGTGACAGGTGTTTATGGAAAGTCTGTAGAATGTGTTTCTGGGTTACTAGTGAGGTTGCCAGAAGAGGATAGGTCTAGTGAGCTGGTCGAGTCTGCGAAGTGAGAGGGCCAGGAATGTATTGGGTTTATTTGCCTTAGTATAATATTTGTGCCTAGATCTACAGAGTGAGAGTTCCGCTTGATCTGTGAGAAAGAGATCTAGAGCCAATCTAGATCGCTCCAGGGCCTCATGGTTGGTAGGCGTAGGAGCCGTCTGGAAGGCTTGATGGGAACGATCATAGGTTTGCTCCAGTGAGAGACGTTGTTGTCTTTTGGTTTTATTTAAGAAGGATGCTTTGCTAATGCAAAACCCTCGCAATACCAGTTTATGCGCTTCCCATAACAGAAGAGGGGAAATACCAGGCGATTGGTTAAGAGAAAAATAGTCTTTAAGGGCTGCTTCGATTTCTAGACAGTGAGCTGGGTTTGCAAGCAGGTTATCGTTAATGATCCAAGAGGGTTCAGCGGGGGATGGGGCTAACGAGGTCATAGAAGTGAATACGGCGCAATGGTCAGACCAAGGGATTGGAATTATTTCAGAAGTCAGGAGCCGGGGGGAAGAGGCGGTGGTAATGAAAATATTATCTATCCTGGAGAATGACTGGTGGGGTGAGAATAGAAGGTGTATTGGCGTTTAGTCGGGTTGAGTTCCCGCCATGTATCTATCAAAGAATGACGTTGTAGTATGGCTTGGAAGGTTTGTTTAGAGGCAGGGACAGGGGATGGTTGAGGAGAGAGGTAACATGAAAGAATGGGTGTAGGAGGCCATTTAAGGCCTAAAAGGTGGGTTCCCAAGGACACCCTGGATCAGGGTGGGCTAGGGAGCAATAGTAGCCCAAGTGTTATTAAATAACCAATAACACAGGGGCTAGGGTGGAGTGTGCAGGTACGCGGACCGTGAGGATGACAACAATGTGATTAATAAATGGTGGTGAGGTCCTGGTAGAAAAAACAGGTATATAAAAAAAAAAAAACATCCGAGAAAATCAGGGTGTCCCAGACTCAGACGGCACTAGCAGTACTAGTGAGACATCTTGGGTGTAGGGGTGTGGCATGTCACCCAACGGGGAGACGGAGCCTCATTGGGACATGTCCGTCCCGCCGGCCACGCATGCGCACTCAGTTTAGTTTGTTTTCAAACGGAATTCTAATTTTTTCCAATGAATTTGAACAGAATGTGAATAAAAAATAACAAATCGATCCAAATTCATTGTGAACAATAGCTGGTTCTATTCTATTTGAAATTCAAATTTTGAAAGGCGGTTATATTCTTTCTGTTCTATTTTTATTTTATTGTTTTTTATTTTATTTTATTTTCTTTGGTATTCTATTTTATTCTGTTTTACTCTATAATATTCTTTTTCAAAAACACTAATACACAGTCTTTAAAGGAAATCAGCAATACTGTATGTTTACAGTTCGAATTTGTTTTAAAATTCAATTCAAATTATTTCGGACTAAATTTTGTTTCGTTATTTTGGATTTGTTGAAATTTGTTTCTATTGTAATTTGGAAATCTCCAATTCTCTGAATTATGAAAATGTCGTCCCAATTTCGATTCGGAGCAAAGAGCATAGCACGTCTACCAAATATTAACAAGTGTGTACCAGG